AATGGGAGCCGGCTCCCGCCTCTGCGGGTGCGGGTGTTCCGCGCCGGAGGGCGGAGCCTCCCGGCGCCCGAGCCCGCCAAAAGGGGCCCTTGCAACGCGGGTCAGCGCCTCGACGCCGCCGCCGGCGCCTGCACCGTGCGTGGTCCCCGCGGCGCTTTGCGAAGTCTGGGACAGCGCCTGGCACCGCTGCGGGCGGGGAGTGCGGGCGCGGACTGGCCCCCGGCGCGGGCGTCGCCCTTTCAAAAGCAAAATACCCTTCTCCCCTTGCACCGAAGTTAATAGGCCAAAATAGGCTCCAAGCTGGTGGATGCTGGGTGATCCCGTGTGATTCCGATTTTGTTCGATGGTTGCGGCCTAGAGAAGCGCCAAGAGAATGGATTACAGCGATAATAGCCGGGAAGCCATCCCTATGGGATCTTGCATCTTGACAATAAATTACTGTCCTGTCCCTTCTTTTATCTTTTTTTTTTTGGAGAAGTTTTTGCCACAGGGCGTGTGTGCTCGCCAGAAAGAGACAGAGAGATAGAAAGGGAGAAATCACCCCCCAGGGGGGATGACCACTCCGCAATTCCTTCTCCTCCATACTCCTCTCGGGGCCTTGGCCACACATGCATTCGCGCCGGGCGTGAGTTTTAAACCACCCGGTCCCGGACTCGAACTGCAGTCTACTACATGGGAGTCCAGGGACGTAGCCATTACACCAACTGCTGGTTCCTATTTTTTTTTTAACTTGCTAGAGGGCATGTTCATTCATAGTGAGATAGAAAGTGAGAACGCCACCCCTATTCCCATCCCCGTGAGAAATGGTCATGTAGCAATTCCTTCTATGTTTACCTCCACTCAGGATTGGGCACACAGGATATGCACCAGGTTTGTCTTTCAAGTCATCATACCAGACTGAATGACAAATGTTGGCTATATGCAATCCAGCCGCCTAAACCACCAGGCCACCGCCTGGCCCAATAGCTTCTTTGGCAAAAGCTTTGACCTAATGGGGAGGGGGGGATGGGGAGGTGGAAAATAGACACAAAGCAGAAAGGTATCTATTGATGATAATGTATAATAATGACTTGACTAATACGAACCTATTTATGCTGGGAAAAACCATGTTGTACACTGAACATGTACAGTAATTAAATGTAAATGTACTTAATGCATGTTTAAAAATGGGAGAAAAAACAGTAGTCCAAATATTATAGACAACCATAAACCCAAAATAAGACCTCAGTTTATGAGAAAAAAAAAGTCTCTCACTGTTGTTATCAAAAAAAAAAAAAAAAATGCTTTTGCAACCCCTTTACAAAATAGTAAGTGGTGGGACCAGCAGCGTAATGGCTGTGTCACTGGACTCCCATGTAGCTGACCGCGGTTCATGTCCTGGACCCGGTGGCTTAAAAACTCACGCCGGGCGTGTGTGTGTGTGCGCGCAAGATCCCGAGAGGAGAATTGAGGAGAAGGGATTGCAGCGTGGCCATCCCCCTGGGGGGTGATTTCTTGCTTTCTATCTCTCTGTCTCTCTCTTTCTGGAGAGCGCATGCGCCCTATAGCAAAAACCTCTCCAAAAAAACTAGTAAGTGGTTGTTCTCCCTTAAAGAGAAGAGCTTAATCACTTGGCAGACCCTTTTTTTGTTTGTTATTTTGTCCCCCTTTTCTTTCATTTCTTCGTCCTGTTGGGATTGAGGGCAACCATGCACACACCCAGAGTGTTTTCCTTTTTTCTTTTTTTCCCCCACCCTGAGCGTTTTTCTAGCTGTGGGGCCAGGATTCAAACCAAGGTCAGCTGCTTGGAATTCCAGCTCTTTGACCAATTAGGCTACAGGTCGGGCAGAGGACCTTTTAAATAATAGTTTCAACTTAATAGGCATGAACTATCATGGTTATGGTAAGTACAACCAATATTTACTGGGTGCTTTATGCCAGGACTTGGACAAAGCGATTTACATACTTTTATCTGTTTAAGCCTCACAACAAACAGGATGATTATTTTGCACAATTCAAAATAAGTGTTGCAAGACATTAGGCAGATTAAGATAACAAAAATCCAGATCCGAAGTCAGGTTAATTCTTCTTGGACAGAAAGTCCTGAAGCACTGCATTGACTATTTCTCTAGATCTAATCTTCAAAGCAGCCCTGGGGACCAGCAGTTGGCATAATGGCTATGTCGCTAGACTCCTATGTTGTTGACGGGGGAGTTCAAATCCCAGACCCAGTGACTTAAACTCACGCCGGCACTTGTGCGTGCATGCCCAAGATCCCAAGAGGAGAATGGAAGAGAAGGGATTGCGGGATTGCAAAGGGGCCATCGCCCCTGGGGGATGATTTCTCACTTCCTTGACTCTCTGTCTGTCTCTTTCTGGTGAATGCACACGCCCTATGCAAAAACCTCTCAAAACAAAACAAAACAAACTAAAAAAAAAAAAAAAAAAAAAAAAGAAAAAAAAAAAAAAAAAAAAAAAAAAAAAAAGCAGCCCTGTACTGTGTGGATTATGGATAAAGGAAGGGAGAGCTGGCATTTTGCTCAAGGAGCAGAATCAGGATTGGGACCCACACGGCTATTCCCAAACTTGAGCTATCTCTCCAGGTTTGACTGACCAAAATGATAATAAAACCTCAGGCTTTGTCAGGTGATTGCTACTTAAAGAGCATTTTTCCCAGGGGCAACAGGAAGGTTAGATTCCTTTGTCCTTGATAACCATCATCCCCTTTTAGCAAGTGGTATGGAAAAGCTAATCATGGATTGCCTGAACTATTTGGAATCAATAAATCATAAAGTGAGTGTAAATCAATTAGTAAATATTTAAGGCAAAATACATTTTTAAAAAATGTATTTTAAAAATTATTTTATTTGGGACCAGCAGTTGGCGTAATGGTTGTGTAGCTGGACTCCCATGCAGTTGACTGCGGTTCCGGTCCCGGACCCAGCAGTTTAAACTCACGCCGGGCGCGTGTGCATGTGTGCTCAGGATCCAGAGAGGAGAATGGAGGAGAAGGGATTGTGGCATGGCCATCCCCCCTGGGGGATGATTTCTTGCTTTCTGTCTCTCTGTCCTCTCTTATACCTTAGATAGAACTACATTGTTAACTTCGCATAAATAAAGCCATATTTTTTTCCTTTTTTTTTTTTTTTTGGAGAGGTTTTTGCTATAGGGCACATGTGCTCGCCAGACAGACAGAGAGAGAGAGAGACAGAAAGCGAGAAATCATCCCCCAGGGGGGATGGCCACGCCGCAATCCCTTCTCCTCCGTTCTCCTCTTGGGATGTTGGGCACGCACGCACACGCACCCAGCGTGAGTTTTAAGCCACCAGGTCCAGGACTCGAACCGCGGTCGACTACATGGGAGTCCAGCGACCTAGCCATTACGCTAACTGCTGGTCCCAGTAAAGCCATTTTGTAAAGCACCACCATTTTGTGACCTATGACATGTAATGGCACCACCCTACCTGATCACCAGCCGCACAGGCAGCACGCCACGGCTGCAAAACCACAACGAGGAAGCTAGACACAACCGATGGCCTATAAAACCAGGGCCTCCGCAGACACTCCTCGGAACTGTCACTCAGTATTCTGCGTGGTCAGAACAGACTTTCCCCCCTAGAACGGAGCTAACGGAATCCTTCCTCAATCTCGGAATTTAAACTGTGAGATGGAGCTGAGTCCTACCCTGGTCTCGAACTCTAATTGTGAGACAGAGCTGAGTCCTCCCCTAGTCTCACTTCTTACTCAAGATGGAGCTGACTAAGTCCTCCCTAGTCTCTCGTTTCACCTACCAAGATGGAGCTGAGTCCTCCCCTGGTCTCTGACCTACAGAAAACATGGTCGCTGCACCGGCTTAGCTGCCGGTACCAACGCACGCTAGTTCGAGCCGTCTCCTCCTGTTCGGGCTTCTCCTCAATGGTGCCTTGAGTCCGTTTCGGTGTTGCGTCGGTCCTCGAGTGCTGGAACCCATGTCACGATCTTCCACTGCCAGCCTACAATGGCCTGCGGTCTCACCGACTCGTCCCTTATTTGCTGAGTTTGTAAGTATATTTCCCCTATGACTTGATTGTTATTAAACATGTTTAAAAAATCTAACTTTGTGTCTGTCTCTCTCTGTGAGTAGGATTCTCATCAGGGAACCTTTCTTGGCCCTGGCACCGGCCTGGACTGTAAGCTGCTATACTTCTGCGTCATGCCTTGACTCTTAATTCTCTCTCTCTCTTTGTGATGATACAAATTCTCTCTTTGCAACAGTCTCTCTCTGTCTTTCTGGCGAGTGCATGCGCTCTATAGCAAAAACCTCTCCAAAAAAAAAAATATTTTATTTAACTTTACTGATATATATTACTTAGTTTAATTTGACCAGAAAGGGACAGAGAGAGAAAGAGAAAGTAATAAGCCAGAAGGCCTGGGACCCGAACTGCAGTCACCCATGTGGGAATCCAGTACCCTCAACCACCATGTGCCACTCAATGGTCCCATTAAAAAATATTTTAAAAGGGCCAAAAAATGAGGGTTAGGTGGAGCGAAAATGCTGCATTATTTTAAGTAAAAATTAACTAATGGGGGAGAGACTTG